ATATACAGTTCGTCTAAACAGCGAGGCTTCTTTACACTTGGACGTTGCACCTTTTGTAAGAATATAGAAATACTTAAAATATCTTCAGAAGTTTTTGATAAAACATTTATCATATTTTATTTTTAGATTATCATGTTTTTCGGATATTTAACAATTAGTTACCTTTTTGCTTATTTGTTGTCTGTAATGACAGAAATTCCCTGTATATTGTTAACGGGAATATTTTTTAAATCTTCGAGAAGAAAAAATACGTCTCCCAAAATCGAAATAACGTAATTATGAGGTATTACAACAATTGCTGAGCGCTGATTTCTGCTAAATACAGTCATTCTTTACTTTTCGTTGTTCTTTTGTTTTAGACTGTACTCGTATAAATTCAACCAATCAGCGACGACGAGACAAAGACAGAGATCCTAGTTGTGATGCTCTCTATCGCGGACAGCTCGCACAATGGCAAGATGCGTTCNATATTATAGTTCAGTGACTGTTATCATAAAAGTGTTAAAAGTTTTAGAAATTTCATATCCATGAATATGAATATTATACTCTAAAGTTTCATATATAGAACATAAAAATAATAGTTTATTATTGTGAACAATTAGATTTACGATTTCTCCAAAAATAGGACCTATAATACTATTATAATCTAATTATCACAATCATTTCAACCTAATATCGTGTTCCTTTGTATTCCACCCAATTAGTAGTAAAACACTTTAGTTTTTAATGTTGATAGCATATCTTTAATTAACTCATACTTGTCAATTGAAAAAATATCACATATTGTTCCTGGACNAACTTTCATTTGAGGCAGTATACTTTCATGTGCTTTTAATTTAAAAGAAAATTGGCACTTCCGGTGGAGCTAGCGAGAAGTGTGCATGTGCGTGAAAGCAAGTAGCTAGTGGTAAAAAGTAAAAAATTGGCAAAAGAAAGAACGTAGTACAGAGGAAAGAGTGACGAGAAGAAAAAGAAAGGATAAAAAAAGACGAGGAATAGAAGGTGAAAGGACATATAAAGGAGAACAAGGACTAAGNCCGAGGTAGGAGAAAGAAGATAAGTTAGGAGTCGGAAAGAAGCGGGAAAAAACAGGAAGAAAGCAGCAGAAAGAATAACAGAGCTGGAGGAGATGAATGAAAAAAGGGAGAGAAGAGAAAGGAAGAACAATATAGTTATAAAAGGAGTGAAGTGGAGAGAGGCGAAAAGGCTGGATCAGGAAGTGAAGGAATTCATAAGAGAGAGCCTGAAAGTGGATGTAGAAGTGAAAAAGGTAAGCAAAATAAGAATAAACGATAGTAAAAACATACTGGTTGTAGAGCTAGACAATTGGGAGCAAGAAAGGAAAATTATGCGCAAGAAGAAAAAGTTGGAAAAAGATGTAATAGAAGATGATCTAACAAGAAAAGAAAGAGAAATACAGCAAAAATTAAGAAAAATGGCGAGGGAGGAAAGAGAAAAAGAAGATGATAAAGTAAAGGTGGGCTACATGAAAATTAGTTTGAAGGAGAAGTGGTATAGATGGAACGAGATGACAGGAAATCTGGAGGAAGAAAGAGGAAGGAGAGACTGAGAGCACGCCACACAAGGTTGTGTTCCGATTCTCCACCCGAGTGCAACCGAGTGTCATTTTATCTTTGTTTTATGTCTAGTGAGTGATAAAGATAAAGTATACTCGGTGGTATACTTTTGGTTGAAAGAAAAGGATAGGAAGTGTAGGGTATGTAGGAAAAAAATAGAAGGTATTACACATGTATTGAAAGAATGCAGGAAGACTCGAGACGAAATATCAGAAGAAGAGTTTTTGAAAGAAGATGGCAAAGGATATGAAATAATGAAAAGAATAGAAGAAGTAAGGAGGAAAAAGATGAACGGGAGAGAAAAGAAAAAAACGGAAGAAACAAGGGAATGACGTTGGAAGGAAGATGAAGGTGCCAAAGGAACAGAGTGATATTAGGTTAAGGACAATAAGAATAATAAGGCAAGATAAGAAGGGACAGTATTATATAGATAGAATATTTGCAATTAAAGGATTCTACAAATCCAGTTATACTATGCAAACCGAGATTATTACCTAAAAGAAGANCGAAAATAAAAAATATTTTTTTGTACTTTTGTGAAGTATTAATAATTATTCCTTCAGTTTCTAAAAATTGTANTTCTTCAATCAGAGGCAAAAATACTTTTTCATTGCCAAACCATTTTCTATCTTCGCTATGAAACAATAAAATTAAAAAAATATTATCTAATTCAGATTGACATTCGGGTAGAAGACAAGGAATTGCACAATAAACAGCGCCTAATTTATTGCAATGAGATCCCAAAGGATTATTAGGTTCAAAATCATCATAATACACAAAAAAAGGCAGGATTATCTCATCTTCTTTATAAGATGCAGTTTTTTGTTTCCAAAGTGAACTTTGAATAAAGTTTGAAAAGTAGTCTGAATTTTCTTTTAATGATTTTATGTAAAAAATAGTGCTTTCGTATGCATTAGGTAACTCAAAAAATTTTTGTAGCACTTTTTTTAATTCAATAAATTGACCATAAACTGGTACTTGTTTTGCTTGAATACCTTTTTGTGTTTTTACTCTTTTTAATCTATGACCTATTAAGTAATCTTTTGGTGAAATATATTCTCCACATGTTTTAAAATGTTTGAATATTTTATATTCAGTCGATAAATGTCTAAAAGAATTTGTGATAATGTTAAACATGCAATCAATCTTATTCTTAATTGCGACATTAGAATCTTCAGATATAAACACATCCTTTATTATATCTGATACTATTGATAAGGTATGATCAAAAAGAGATGCCATTTAATATCATTTATCATAGTTTGTACATAACANCGTGGAACATAAGAATTATTATAAAGCTTGGCAACAAAGATATCTGCTTGATTTTGAACATATGTTTTGAAATCATTAAAAGAAATATTATTTGATGCAATTACATTTTTTTCAGAAACAGNACAATGAATATCTACATTTTCCTCACTTTGTGTTTCTTCTACACTAAGTATTGTACTCGAATTTGTGACAGATAACACTGAATGTTTTTTCATTAAATGGTTTTTTAACATTGCCCATTGACTAAAAGTACGATTACAATTATTTTCGCCACATTGATACGTGCTAAATACGTATTTTTTATGCACGATTTTAAAATGAAGTCCAAGAGAACTAATGGAAGGTAAGTTTATTTTACATTTAACACAATGTGACATTTTTTATAAATAATCTTATACTTATAAATTATCTTATCTTTANTAATACACGCAAATTATTTTATACTTTTTTTATTATATCAAGAGGTCATATCATTTTATAGCTTTTCAATTATATAATTAATTATATAAATAATATTATATTATTATTTTAATAGGTCATAGATTATTTTACGTGATATCTGTGCATACATAAATTATGTTCTTTTTATTTATCTTTAAACGCACGATATTCTTTAGGTAAGACTGTAAGGAAGAATCATTACAAACGGCTAAAATCGAATCTCTATATGTATTATTCTCTTATATTTTCTATATGTATTATTCTCTTATGTTTTCGAATTTAACGACTGATAATTTCACGATAAACTTGTATAACAATAAACAAAAACAATAAACTAACAATAAAATAAGAATTGAATTATATTATAGTCATGAGNTAACTATATATGTGATTATTGTAATTGTATTTCTACTTAATCTTCTACTAAATTTTCTGNAAGTTACATTTTATTTGATTAGTCATAATTAAAACATATAAATTGCATCTTTTGTTGGTTTTACAATATTTTAAAATAACTATTAATGCTTGCTTTGAAACTAAAACAGTGATTGTTTTAAAAACANTTTTGAAAAGTATGTATACGTTTATATAATTTACTTTAAAAGTAAACAATTTTTTACTCAAATAAAGTTTACTTGCAGGAGAAACAACATTGCACTTACATAATATTGTTTTATTTTATTGATATAAAAATTNTAAAACTTAATTCAATTAAAAGACTAATTAAAATAAACCGACATATTTTTATGTCAGTATATTTATGAGTTTAATTCGATTATTTGATATTGTAATTATTTGATTATTTGATATTNTTTGATATTGTTGAAATTTTATAATACATTGTTTTTAATATAATAAATGCAACGATTACTTATATATGTTATATTAAAATATGTTATATTAAAATACTGTAATGTTAAAACTCNTACATTTTATTACTTCAATTAGATAAATACTTTGCACAATTATTGATGTCACAATCAAATAACATCACAAGATATTTGAAATCTCCAATAGTTGCTGTTGTTTCAAGTAGATGTATAATTTGTAATTTGTAATTATTGAGATATTATATTTCAATATGCTGCACGTTCAATTAAAACTTATTATTTAGGTTTTACAAAAAGAAAAATGTAAGTAGTTTTTAATTCAATNTCAAAGAATAATTCTTTACATTACATCAAAAACTACTTACATTTTTGTAATTAAATGTAAACAGCTTGTGATTGCATGTATACATTACTTGCAGTATACATCACTTAATGTAAATGACATTAATGATTTTATTAGTTCTGCATTTACTTAAAACACCAGAAAAGATTGTGTATAGTAGACTATCGCTATAGGACCGGTCTCGGAACTACATAAAAAATTAACAGATATTGACTTTTATAGTGAGTTTTAGAAGTATTNTACCGGTTGTTTTTTTAATAATTATAAATGTTTTTTATGGATAAAAATTAATGGAACGTTTTATAAANCAAACATGATTATAATACTTGAAACAAATTATTGCAAATTTGCTAACATTAAATATATTTTTNAAAATACTTTATGTAAAACATTCTTTATACATAAGGATGTAAAAATTATACAATTTAATACTCATTTTTACGCATATGAGATAACAAAAATGCAATCTTGGGGATTTATATTTCAATCAAAACTTGAAACGTATAAGGCTTATAATATACATTTTGTTCAGCATAAAAGCTATGTCTCTGTACTTCAAAGCTAATATTAATATCTGTATAGCTTTAGTTATATAATGTAAATGTTTACATGTATCAATGTGTTTATATGCATTAATTTTTTCAAACGTTTTATGTGTATACACGTACACATAAAACTTTGGTTTTTACATTTTCATACGTAATTGTCTAAATACGTATTTACCATTTATATATTTTTTATCCGTTAAATACACGTTCTATTGATTTTGAAATTATTAGTCGTGCGATTTTTCTTTAGTAGTAAGAATATATACAAGATGTCTGACAACAAATTATAAAGCCGACGTGTGTAGGTAGATAGAGTTATTCTGAACAGAAAATTTATTTACCATTTTACAAAATTCGCAATAGTTATTGAAATATGAATTAATAAATGTGAGCCAATGAGAGCACGGGGAGCGATGATCGGACTCTATAGGTGTGCACAATTGACCATGTTCAGCAGACTGAGCAGATCAGTAAACACTTAGTGATTCTTCAATATGATTGGTTTCTACACTTAGATCCAGTGAAGATTTAAAGGCAAGATTCAATCATATTAAAGAATCACTAAACAATCACTAGGTGCGTTCAAACAACTCAACGGTTAAGAGATCATCACTTATGATAGAACTATTCTTCAAAATCTGGTACGGTTCCAAAAGTATGATCCAATCAGAAGTGATTATCTCTCAACCGTTGTGCAACTGTTGAGTTGTCTGAACGCACCCAATATCATCTACTTGACGTCACATGTGGGCGTTTCAGCAATTGTTCGGCTAAACGCGGCCTCGTAGATGATATTATCTTATCTTCAAGGCAGTTATCTGAAGTCGTCTATAAATGCGCCTTTGCTTTGTCCACATGTGACGTCATGTAGATGATATTATCTTTGCTTCAAGATAGTTGTCTGAAGCCGCGTCTATAAGTATATATGGTCTAAAGCCTCTTGCACAATGCGAGGAAATAGTGATAGCGATAAGCAATAAACACAGAATTCCAACTCGTCGAAAAATTTATCGCTATTGCTTATTCCGTTTTCTGATCTGCATTGATACATGTGTATTTTTGTATGTTAGATTCCGCTGTTTCTACCGTTATTTATGAATATAAACTCTTTAAAACTGGTGTTATTTCTATCGCTATTGCTATTCCGTCTATTGTGCAAGGGGCTTAAGCAAAGCACACTTTTGCATACTGCATAAGGCTGGATCCTCAGGGCAATGTCCCATTGAGCGGAAATATATAGCGGAACGGAATGTGCGGAACCAGCTCGACCAATCATAGCCATTCCGTTTTCTTTCCTTCGCTTTTTCTATGGTTACGATTGGTCGAGCTGGTTCCGCACATTCCGTTCCGCTATAGATTTCCGCTCAATGGGACATCGCCCTCATGCAGACACCGGCGCTTTGACACCAAACGTTGATTGGTTAAAAGCGGTTAGAGAAGGTAAATTAAGGTTGCCATTTACCCTCACCATCTGCTTTTCACCAATCAACGTTCGGTGTCAAAGTGCCGGTGTCTGCATGATGATCCAGCCAAACACATAAGACATAAGAGAATCAACCAATCAAAACTTTCTAGACCAAGAAGTAGGGATGAAAACAAAAAGCTAGATTGGTTGATTTTCTTATGTCTTAAGAGTCGTCTACAATGAAGAGTTTTAGACTGTAACAGTAAGAAACTGACAAATCACAATCAATTATTCTTCTGTACTTTGTCTGTGATTGGTCAATTTCTTACTATTACGGCCTACAACTCTCCATTGTAGACGGCTCTTAAAGGGCCTTCTACAATGAGATATTAGTAATAAATCAGAAGTCAGAAGCAAGAAATTGACTAATCGATTATTCTTCTATGATTTGACTATGATTGGTCAATTTCTTGCTTCTGACTTCTGACTTATTACTAATATCTTATTGTAGAAGGCCCTTAAGTAATAGACACAAAATCCCAACTCGTCGAAAATTTTATCCCTATTGCTTATTCCGTTTTCTGATCTGCAATCTTCTTGATACATGTGTATTTTTATATGTTAGATTCCGTTGTTCCTACCGTTATTTATAAATATAAACTCTGTAAAACTGGTGTTATTTCTATCGCTATTGCTATTCTTTCTATTGTGCGAAAGGTTTTACATGAACATGTACACACATGTACATAATGAAATTTTATACATGGCGCAGAGAAACCGTTAATATATATGTAAAGGGCCTTCTACAATTAGATATTAGTAATAAATCAGAAGTCAGAAGCAAGAAATTGACCAATCACAGTCAAATCACAGAAGAATAATCGATTGTGATTAGTAATAAATCAGAAGTCAGAAGCAATTTCTTGCTTCTGACTTCTGATTTATTGCTAATATCTTATTGTAGAAGGCCCTTAACACTTGTCTCTTTTCCGTTATATTCGAATATTTAAAAGCTCAAACTTGAATTTTATGCACGATTTTAAAACTTGAAAAATTGAATTCTTTTAAGTGACAAACGAATTAAATGGTAAAAATTTTACAGTTATAAATTTTTAATAAATTTTTTAAAAACTTTTATTTTTTAGTTATATTATATCTATATATATATTAATTAGTTACTTAAATAGTTAAATTTTTTAATATTATATGATTTTTTTAATTATAAAAATAATATACATAAAAAACGCGTGTACTTTTTATGATCATTTTCTGATTAGCTATTGCAACGTAGTAAAAATGCGAATAACAGATAAACTACAGTAGTATAATTGAAAAACAACGTCCTAGAATTATAAATTTTGTATATTCTATCTATCCCAATATATTCAAAACAAATGTACTTAAAATATATTATTATATATCATATTACTTGCTTATTTGACAATTTGCTTACAAGCAAATTCTTTTATTAGAATTTTCTTCGACTACAATGTCTTTATTTACGAGCCGAGAAATTGCTTCTACCTACTCAGGTTTCTTTGTGACACAGCAGGAGACTTAGGTAGAATACCAGAAGTTTCGTATCTGAGTAGAGTCCAGCGGTGCTGAGATTTAAACTGGACAGATAGCGAGTCGCTCATTGGATATAGTGGAATAACGCTGGATCAGCAAACGAAACGTTGGACGAAAGTTTCAGTTGAAAGAACACCGCCGTGTGACGCGCATCCACGTAAATCTCTTGAAAGTTGTTACGTTTTAACATCACGGGAGGAATGATATACTCCTGGCAATTCTGACAGCACTGGTACGCAATAACAATTTTAGTCTAATAAATTTATTATTCAAGCTCCTAAAGATCACATATTTTTGGTAAGAAAAATATCTAATACTTCTCTTATACATTTTATTGCTTGTTTTAAAATATTTTCACTTTATATTTTATATAGAATTGCATCTCTATTTGCAGAGACAATTAATCTACGCGATATTTCGATTAAAAAAAAAAAATCAGAGACTCGAATCAAATAACTCGGAATCGATAAAACAAACTTTGAGTTGAGACATATATCGTGCTTACAATGAACAGTCCCGCGCTATGGATCGATAATGAGATCGACAAGCACATTGCAAATCGATTGAAAATCACAGATGCACGCCTATCCGAAAGTAATTTAAATGAGAAAAAAGTGCCGTTCATTTTGCATAACATGACAAAATTTGTGAAATTCTCTGATAAAAATGATAAATCAATCGATGAAAACAAAATCACAGAAAAACGTACAAGTGAGACTATACTTAACACGCTGTTCGAAGAAGATAAACATTATGATAAAAAAAATAATTGTTTTAATTGTAATGAGAATCCTGGTGTCGTACAAAACTTTAAGTTTGAAGTTCCGAATCACTTTTCGATTGGATCGCGTAACACATTGTATCCTTCGAGACAATTTAGGAAAACTAACAGCTTGCCGGATATTGACGAGAGAAGCGAATATTCCGTGAGCAATAAACAAAGTAACTTTTGCCAACACGGTTACAAAAACGGTTGTACAGCGACATTTGTGCCGCCTGAAGAAATCAGCTTGGAAATTTTCAAGAGAAATTGTTTGAAAAAAATCGAAATCCTACAGCAATGGGAGGTCGAACTAACGGAACGGGAAATAAACGTACAAAAGAAAGAGAAAGAAGTTTTTATGATGCAGAAGGAGCTGAGAATCGCAGCAAGGATTCTGAATGAAAAACTAAAGCAGGTAGACCAATATTTAAAATATCAAAGAAATATGCAAGTCATTGATAGAAAACTGATGGTAGCACAAGTATTATCTGGTAAAGTACAGAAATATGACGAGCTTAAAATATCAAAAGAACATCAATATCAGTCCAAGGAATCTGATGAGTTCAAAAGACCTTGCGTGCATAAAATATCGGATGAAACATTGGATGAACATCTATATGAAGCTGACGAATTTGATGGGATTAATATATTTGACGAGATTAAAAAATTTAACGAGTTAATGAAACTTGATGACATCAGAAGATCAAACGAGGCTAAAAAGTCTGACGAGTATAAATCTGACAAAATTAAGAAATCTTGCGCGCATAAGATATCAGGCGAGCATCCGCATGAGCATCAAGCTGAGAATCCTGACGAAATCAAATCTGGCGAGATCAATAAATTAGACGAGATAAAACAATGTAACGATTTCATGAAACGTGATGAGGTCAGAAGATCCAACGAGATCAAGAAGTCTGACGAGTGTGAAAAATTTGACGGTGAGCTTAAAAAATCTGATGATTTTAAGACTAATAATGAATCTGCGAAAATAGAAAAGTGGAGAAATCCTCAATCTCTTATTGACACATATGAGGAAAAAGGATCTGATATAAAAATAAGACGTTCAAGGGCACATTCATCGTCCAGACAATCTTGCCTATCAATCGCAAATTCCAGAGTTCGTACATACTCTAGCTTGAGATACAAAGAACGGCCTAAGATTTCCTACGACGACCTGAATTCAACCTTATCAGCTGATCCCGGTGATTCGTCCTTTGTGCGGACATCGGAACAATTTCTCCCACACGTTTACAAAAAGCCAAATGCGTTCGCGAGATCGACGAGTGTACGGTGTACCAAACTGAAAGATAATGCGATCGCTTCGAAATCGCAAGAAACAATCGACGTCGAAGAAAAACTCGAGTATAATATAGATGAAGAGAAAGTTCTGCGGCGATTCAGCGAGAATATACAAGTTTCGCAGGATAAGAACACAAAGTTCCAGCATTATGGACTTGTGAATCAAACACCGAGAAATATTCAAGCGGAATGCGATTCTCACAACCAAGGAGTATTTTCTTATCTCAATCTGGAAGTTGACGACAAACACATCCGTAAACCAGACAGTATTCCTACAACCAGACCAAATTCCTGTAATATAGAAATGGACGAGTGGTTGCAAAAGAAGCGTTTAGCATATACTTTAGCAACAACAAAACCATCAGACAACAAAGAAAATCTCGAGTGCAATATTGTCAAAGGAAAAAGCAAGAAAAGCTCGAAGAAAAAAATATTCAAGAATATATTTCGTTAACATGTTTACATTATTGTTAAAATATTTAAAACCAATATTTGACAATCTAAATATTAGTATTTTGTTAAATTTGCAATTAAAAGAATTTATGGAGGCTAATAACTCCAACTTGAAGTTCTAAGAATTCTAATAATCTCACCTTAAATTTAATAAACATAATTTAATGAATTTAAATTCATTTTAATTCTGTGCTTGTAGCCTATTTATTGCAACTCTCATCAATTATTTCATTTTTCTACATTTTTATCATGTACTACTTTGCGCTAATGAAAAACAGATTATATATACAACCAGAAAACGTCACTTAAATGTATTAAGGAAATTTTTTACTTTGAAATTCTTGTTTCATTTAACCATCAATTAATTTATTTCTTAACTTACATGAGACTAATTCCACAATGTTTGAGGATTACCATACTTTATCCAAACTAAGATCATGAAATTAATATGGCCAAGAAGGTGGCTCTCCTGGTTTTAATTCTCTGCCATACAGTGCCGATTTATCTCTAAACTTTGTCAGCCTCAATGCTTCCGCCTTCTCTAATTTATATCCAATCATAAATCCTGTGAAGGGGAAAATGAGCATCAAGTACTTGGGCCAAATGTGTCTATGTGACAGAGCACCCATCGCTGTCGCGATCTTATTGTTTTTGTTGTTTGGCGAGTTGTTGCTGCTTCCAATGAGCAGTGTGTCTCAAATCGGCGTAGATTGTAAATATGACAAATGAAGGCAGTAGCACACTGATCAAATTCCGCTTGACCAGAGTTCCGACAGTTTTGACACGAGAAGAATCCATCAACCTGTAACATTTGAAAAATCGCTTATAAATATTACAAGCAGATGAAATCGGTGATCTTTTTGTATTGTTATGTTCACACAAGAGAAGATCGATTGAAGAAACAGAAATAGAAGAGTGTAGGTTAGATTTCTTAACCATGAGGGCAAGAAACAACGCGTGAATAAAATGGCTCGACTGTTTATTATTTTGAAGAACGAAAATAACGCAACAAGTTTAAAACGACAAACGAGTATCTTACGTCCTGCGAGCTGCATTGATTTTGTTAAAATTGCTCGCGTCAAAGGTTAATATCACACGTTTCGATTGTTATGTAACGCGTGTCACGATCACACTACTTGAACAAGCCGCTACCCAATCGGCGCTCGTCGTTGTCATTTCTTTGCGAAAAATCGAAACTTAAAATAAAATTCCAAAAAATCTTCCGAGTAAACAAAATCAACATCGCAAGGAAAGAAAATCGTTTTTGCAGTTGCGGCACGACCGATCGAAATTCATCAAACTTAATTCGGAATAATCTTGAAAGGTTAAGAATGGAACGACACTATCGCGCGTAAATAATTTTGTTATATACCTAACATAACTCAGTGAATCTCTTCTACTTTATACGCTTAGGTTATTTGATTTGTTTGCTTTGTTTTTTAGTTGTATTGTGCTTAGTTGTGCTTTATATTTTATGCGTTTAAAATGCGATTATGAGTGCACACAATTTATAAATTAACAAATCTACGATAATTAATGTCGAAACATTTTGTAACAAAGAAAGTGAAAAACTTACAGACAGCTTTAAGTAAAAAGAACAATTTTTTACAAGTATTTGATAGACGTGTGCTTATTATCGAAAACTTTTTCTACAATCAGTGTAAATTGAAATTTGACATATTTGACTTTAGCTGTTGAGCGCAGAGAGAGAGAGAGAGAGAGAGAGAGAGAGAGAGAAAGAGAGAGAGAGAGAGAGAGAGAAAGACAACGTTACGGCAGCATTTCCAATGAAATCGACACGTACGAAAACGAAGAGATAATTCTTTCGAGTCAAAGGGTGTGTTTAGCCGAAGTTAGCGCTACGTAGCGGCTTCATGTAGCAGTTGCAACTGCTGCGTTACTTCTGCTGGACAGTATTGCTACGCGCAGCATGTTCTAAGTAGTGGCCGCAATTTTTGTAATACTTTGACACTTTTTTGCCATTTTTATAAATAATTAAAAAACAAAGTTTAGCAACCGAAGAATATAACGGCGATTTGTATACAAACATATTTGCGCTTACAAAAGTGGCGGCCACTACTTAGAACATGCTGCGTGTAGCAATACTGTCCAGCAGAAGTAAAGCCCGTTTTACATTGATCGCAAGCGCAAACGCAAGGTATAGATCTCGTAGAATTGACCAATCACGCTGGTCAATTGGCTGATTTGATCAATACGATTCGTCAATTCTACCAGAACTGTTCCTTGCGTTTGCGCTTGCGATCAATGTAGAACAGGCTTAACGCAGCAGTTGCAACTGCTACATGAAGCCGCTACGTAGCGCTACGTAGCGCTAACTTCGGCAAAACCATATATATAATACTCCTATATTGCTAGTACGGTGCCGACCTGAAGCCCAAATGTTACGGTGCAAATGCAACCGACGGCAGAACTGCAGGCGCACGATCAAATCCCATTGGGCGAGGACCGCCAAGAGAGGGAGCGGTATGCGAGAGAAGCTGCGCAAGCGCTAGAGGCAGAAGCAGACTAGAGTCCCTGGAAATAAGAGTCTGGCCAATGTTTAATCTGAAACAAAATGGCGTCGATAGTTACTATATATATCGTATTCTTTATCGTATAAGGCCGATTTTCTTATATCTCCCGATAGCTATTCTTTGAAGAAATATATAAAAATATATATTGTATCTTATCTGAAGCTTATTCAGAAGTGGAGAAAGTGGACATAAAACCTATGATAGAAAAATAGGTATGTACAGACACTGTGCAACAAAAAATGACATTCTAACCTTCTGTTAGCAATTTGATAGAATAATTGCAAATTTATTTATGTGTTTGTTTTGCAGAAAATGACTGGTTGTTGCGTGGTTGGCTGTTTCAATAGTAGTGAAAAAGGTAAATCTATGAGACGTTTTCCTACAAATGTAGAACGGCAAAAATTATGGATAAAACAAATTGGAAGAAAAAATTGGCAACCATCGCAGTCTTCCTGTATTTGTGAAGTAAGTATAAAGTGTACTGATTA